CAAGCGGTAGCGCGCTCTCCTGGCATGCGTGCGGCCCGGGTTCGATCCTCAGCACCACATACAAACAAAGATGTTGTGTCCGCCAAAAACTAAAAAAAATAAATATTAAAATTCTCTCTCTCTCTCTCTTAAAAAAAAAAGCATAATAGATGTCCTTGAAGGTCTTCAACAAATTCTACATTTGGTTATGTATTAGAAACACTGGTTAATTTCAACAGGAATTCCTCAGTTGAATCTGCCTCTATTAATACTTCTTGTTATATAGTTACTTACATAAATAACTTTCTAAACCATGCTGAGTAGGTAGCACCATAGGGAACTGAGAATTGGGTGTCTACTAGATATCATTTTCTATACCTAGATTGCCTTCTCCAGTCTTTGTAAATACTTTTTGTTTTCTTCTTCTTTTCATACAGGGATTGAATCCAGGGGTACTCACTGAGCTACACTCTCAGGCCTTTTTTTATTTTTAGATAGGGTTTTGCTGAGTTGCTTAGGGCCTCACTAAATTGCTGAGGCTGACCTCAAACTTGGGATCCTTTTGCCTCAGCCCCCTGAGTCACTGGGATTGCAGGTGTGTGCCACTGCACCAGGCTGTAAATCTTTTTTTTTTGGTGTGTTTGTGAGGTGCTGAACATTGAACCCTGGGCCTCACACATGCTAGGAAAGTGCTGTATCACTGAGTTACAGATCCTGCCCCTTCYCCAGTCATTATCATAGTCTAACAAAGCTATCACTGGGCTTTCAAGTTCCAGTTTCTAATTTTTGTCCTTTATGACTTTTCCCTTTCTTTCTTCTATGGGTACTTTAAAAACTCTGAATGAGGGAGTCTTCCAGTTCAAGTGTCACTTAGGAATGCTGGACAGCTTGCTTGTATCTTCTCTTAAATTAATTATATTACAAGTATTAAGTTTCCAAATTACATATCTTTTTTGTGACCTCTTGACCCACGATTAGCTAGCTCTCTGTTCTGGGGGATAGGGTGGAGCCTGGACAAAGATTACTGAAGTCTAGCCTCTCCGTGAATGGAAGATAGCAGGGATGGGTAAGGGCTGTATGTGGACTTTTTCATCTGACCTAAAGTCAGATCCCACTGTTTTCTTTCAGTGGTGGCCTATGCCACAGTGGGTTCATTATGCTACTTAAATTGTTACTATCCAGCAAAGTAATTGTTACCTGATGAATAATTAACTTAAAAGAAATATAACTGATTGCTGGCTATTGAGACTTAATAACTAGTTCTTGAGAGAAAGTTATAAGAATTTAGCAGAGGGTAATGCTTAATTAAAAATTGAACTAAATATTGCTTTTAGCTTGGTAGAGATGAGATGGARATTTTAAGGTAATGGCTTTCTTCCTTTATTTCAGCTCAATCACTAAAAGATTCAACGGACCAAACTGTACAAAGCTCACATATTTCTACTTCAAATAYGAAAGCTGTAACACAAGAAAACCTGATCAAATCTTCTATTTCCCATATCAGTACCACTCTCCCTCCTGCAACCAGTACAGAGAAAAGTGGAAGAACATCTGCAGCCCCCCATCCCTCCCCTACCACTTCTCTGTCCCAAGAGGAAGCTGATAACAATGAAGATCCAAGCATAGAGGAGGAGGATCTTCTCGCACTGAATAGTTCTCCATCTACAGCCAAAGACACTGTGGACAATGGAGATTATGTAGAATCAGACTATGACTGGACCACCAGCCCCAGGGATGAGTCCGATGAGACTTTAGAAGAAAACAGGGGTTACATGGAAATTGAACAGTCAGTGAAATCTTTTAAGGCCCCATCCTCAAATGTTGAAGAGGAAGACAGCCATTTCTTTTTTCATCTTATTATTTTTGCTTTCTGTATTGCAATTGTTTATGTTACATATCACAATAAAAGGAAGGTAAGTTTGGGGGATTTTTCAGCCTCTCGTTGTGTATTATTAGCTCAGTTATATTTCTTATCAATTRTATTTTAGTTTAAATTGGTAAAATATCAAGCTGTCTAATTGATTTGTAAATCTGTGGTGTATTTTAACAAACTACAGACAGAATACTTGTATGTGTTTCTAAAAAAAAAAAGTGTTATTATTTCTTAATGAGTAAAACGCAAGGTCAATATTTTTTGTTTTTTTTCCTCTTCAGTACTAGGGATTGAATCCATGGGTGCCATATCACTGAGCCTTATCCCCAGTCCTTTTTATTTTTCATTTTGAGACAGGGTGTTTTTTTTT